GTAATGACAAGCATGCCCTTAAGTGGGCGGCCAGCTAGGCAGTAACATAAAGAGATTAAACAAAAAGAAATAGCAGGCCCATTAAGAGAGGCCCATTAGCCAACAATAAAAGAAAAGATATTACAAGAGAAGATACTAGGACCCATTCGGCCCAGTCTCTTTACAGGGAGCGCCTCCAGGCGTACGCCTCCCACGCCTTTTAAAACACTGATCATTATAAGATTAGAATGAATCTTGAGACTTGAATATGTATGAATGAAAATTAAACTTTTGCTTGACTGGTGGGGTGGAGTGCAGGTTGTTTCTGCCCTAAATTGGAGAGAGATCTTGATCATGGTGAACCAACCCCGATTAGAGTTTTGGTCTCCCACTGGTACTTTAGTGTCCGATGTTATGAAGGCAATAGGAGATTTTTATGGCGGTTTCATTGAGACAAATGATTCACCAAAGGAACTTGCAACCGGCGAATGGGTCCAAATGGCTGAAGTGTTGGCTTCTCAGGTGAGTTATCTTCCACGGAAATACTTAGGCTTCTTCTTGGGGCAAAATGCAACTCTTGTTCTATTTGGGACCCAATAATTGAGCGGATGGAAAAGAAATTATCTTCCTAGAAAGCAAAGTACCTCTCTTCGAGGGGTAGAGTGACGCTTATAAAGAGTACTCTTTCAAACCTCCCTACTTATTTCCTATCCCTTCTAAAGTAGCAAAGAAGTTAGAGACCTTGCAAAGAAATATCATTTTGAGAGGCTGGGAAGAAAAAAGAAAATTCCATCTCGTTAATTGGGATCAAGTCTGCTTGCCAGTGGAGGAAGGGGGTTTGGGAATAAGGAAAATAAAGGTATTTAATACTACCCTTCTAAGCAAATGGCTTTGGAAAGAAATGCTTGGTGGAGGAATTTAATAGCTACTAAACATGGTGTGGACTGGGGCAACTGGACATACTTGAACCCTCTACGAAGCTAGGGGTGCTCTCTCTGGAAAGGAATCATGAAGTCTTTTCCCTGTCTTCTCGGAAGGTCTGGATTTCAAGATTGGCAGAGATAAGCTGAGATTCTAGAAGGATCCATGGTGCTTGGATAGCCCTTTAGCTGAGGTTTTCCCCCTTCTTTTTCAGTGTGCTGCTAACCCAGATGTTTCAGCTGCTGACTCCTATGACTTGGCTGAGAATTTAGTGTCCTGGAGTCCTCAATTTAGATGAAATCTTTTTGACTGGGAATTGGATGATGTTGGAGCTGCTACAGCTTTTACAAAGGCAAGTTATTTCTACAGATCTTGAGGATGAATGGAGAAGGAAGTGAAGTGGAGAAAGCTGTTATTCAGTTAAATCCTTGGCATCTAAGCTTAGCAGGGCCAGCATTACTGGCTTTCCTAGCAAACAGGTCTGGTACCCAATCAGTCCTAAGTCAAACATTCTGGTCTGGGCTTTGGTGCTGAATAAGTGCCTTTCAAAGTCAATCTGGATAGGCGAGGGGTGCAGCTCCTGGATCTGAAGTGTGGTCCATGTGGGCTCCTGCCAGAGGCGGTTTGATCACCTAAGCATTCATTGCTCTATCTCTTCTAAGGTTTGGGAGCATTTTCACAAAGCTGCTGGTATTTGCTAGGTCATGCCAGGTTCTGTCAAGGAGTTATTATGTTGCTGGAAGCTGCCTGGTATGAAGAAGAAATGGAAGCTGATTTGGAAAACCACTCCTGTGGCTGTTCTAGTGTCAATCTGGTCTGAAAGAAACAACCGAATCTTCTGTAACAAAGTGAAAAGTTCAGATGAACTAATCCAACTTGCTATGAGCATAGCTGTCAAGGCGACGCCTAGGCGACAAGGCACCCTTGGAGGATCGCCTCGCCCAGTCGGCAAGTAGTTTTGTGCACTATGTTATAAAATACTTTTATATTTTTTATTTTTTGACATTATATTATAAAGTAGGCATTATTAAACTAGAATACTCAGTTTATGTGTTTATGTACTAATTTCTTTTTATTATTTTCTTATTTGTTAGGGTTTAATCGACACAAACATTGCTAACTGCTGTATTGAACCCATGGTTCAAAGTATCAATACACCTCTGTGTATCGGTAGAGGTGTATCAATACTTATAACGATACTCCCCCTATTTTTTTATTTCTTTGGTTTTCAATTTCATTTTTAAATATATATATACATATATATATATATATATTATTTTAAAAAAATGGGTTCCCAAAAACACCTATAAACATGTGTATTGGGGCACTAAAGATACAATACAATACACCCCATACGGGGCGTATCATATCAAGTTTTGATCCTTGATTGAATCCTCAAAGATTTCAGAACCTGAACCAATAAGCAAGGGAAGAACTTAAAATTTTGTCTAATCAACACATTTTCTTCTTACAGATCTTCTTCTTCTTCCACCTTTTCTTTCCTCCTTTTCCTATAACAAAAGTAGGGGTTCAACCCCTATATTTTTTTAATTCTTTCTTTTGTTCCTTTTCTTCTCATAAAATATTGATTGTCTAAACTTAAAACATGAAATTTATACTTCTCTTATGAAAATTATGGATAATTATTAAGAAAAGATGGTTATGGAACCTAGGGAACTACCCTAGGATATATGGCTTTACTTAAAAAAAAATCCATCGCCTAGGCGACTAGGCAACAAGGCACCCCCCCCCCCCGTCGCCTAGCCTCGCCTTGGCACCTTAAAAACTATGGCTGTGAAACTAATCTCTTGGTTATCTGTAACCACTGAATTTAAGCATCAATATGTGTTCCAGTTGCTTTACTCTCAGTCTGTGTGGAATTTGTAAGCTGGTTTCTTTTCCTGGTGAAGTCTGCGGGGAAGCTGTTGTAATCTATTTTCCTCTTTCATCAATAAAATTTTTACCTTACCTTTCAAAAAAAATAATAAATAAGCACTACCTTGTTGCATTATTGCACACAAAATCATGCAAGATATGGAGTCGGGGATAAAATATTGGACACGCACACATGCATAATACTATGTGTTCTGCATTGAAGAGTGTACAAACCATGGGTTAAATGTTATTTTTGTTATTTGTAACTTAATCCTTCGAAACTAATCAGAACAGAATATTCTAAATTTGTAGACAAATAGAAAAAAATGTAGAACATTTTTTAACTACTACATTTCATCCAAGAATCACCGTACTCATTCTCACTGCTAGTCAATCCGTCCATTTCACTTCCAGAACCCTAGTTCCGATAAGTTCAGAAGTTTAGCAAGCATGGACTCTCCTAACATAACAAAAAAACCAGATGTATAAAACAGCAAAGAATGTAAATTCCATACCAGAATCTCAGAGACGTCAATTCAAAAGAAGACTCCAGGCAGAAATCAATAATGGCATCCTTCCTGCTCCCAATTCCAATCACTTCAACAAAGTCCGCCGAATCCCCCCATAAATCATCAGAATCCCTTCGAGGTTCCTGATTGACATGACTATTCGACGTCGATCCTTGCTCTGCATTCGAGAAAGCTCGGAGAGGCATCGAGAAACGCTTACATTTTCTGCACAATCTGCGCCTGGAGAAACGACCATTAAAGGCGAGCTTCACAAGAGAATGGCGCGAGGAGAGGCCAGAGACTGTGCAGAGGGCTGTCGGAAGGACAAGCTCCATGGGAACGATAATGCCGTTTAGGAGAAGACCATCGCCATGCACGTAGAGCGCAGGTGTGGATTTTTGGAAGTGGAAAGGGTCGAGAGAACCAGCGACCGTCTAAAACCTTAAACTTTACCGGTTTACGCTCTCGGTGTCTATGGCTGATAGCCTGATAAGCTGATACGACTCTGAAGCTCCGAGTTTTCTATGGTGGGACCCAAGAAAAACCACCAGTTTTACGCAACCATCTAACGCGGGGAGGTGAATACACTCCAATCTGCTACCAACTAAACGTTCCCACATCCGCCACTATAACCGTAAACGAGCATCCCCCTCCAACCCTTTATCACGCGGGTTGATATGTAGCCGAAGAAATCCGTGCGTCGTTCGGATCATATGTGGTCCAATGAATGATTCCATCAAGGTTAGTGGCACTGTATCATAATTCTGCGGCTTATGACGAGGGCTATATTGGCTCTTGCAAGTTCATGGGAGGCTCATCTTATGTGTAATCACCATGATGAAAAGTACATGTTGTGCAGATGATGATAGGCAATAGCTAGGCTGGAGCACATCATGCGTTGTAGGCAACGAGGTAACTCCATTAGCTTAGACACGGGGCTGGTGTGGTAAAGGGTCATGCTTGAGCCAAATCCATGTGCCAAGCCTCCCTTCAAGGTGTGTGGTGCAGTGTTAGTCCATGCACTATCCCCACAAGCGTATGTGTGCCCATGAGGAACCCTATTAGCCATGCTAACCATTAATCAAGGCCACCCACAAAGGAAGATAGTCTAGAAGTGTCAAGGTTAAGCACCCAAGAAAGTTGACCACCCCTCCTTAAAGAGTACGTTAAGCTTTTGGAGGTCCGCCAATAAGAAACATCACTTCTCCCAAAAATCATACTAGCGAAGTTTATGATAATGCCACTCAATGTAAACCCGCCAAGCATAGACAAGGCTAAGCCTATGTCAGACCGTGACACCTTGCTAGTTGTTACTACCTAGTGGAAAGATTGACATTCCGCATTCAACAAAACCCTTTTGGCCGGCAAAAGCAAACATGGATCGGGCCAAGGTTTGGGCTGGAGTTGGGCTTTGATGACATCATGACACTACAAAAGCAATCTAACCTTCTTAGCATTTCAGCCCAAATAATATTTGCATGTCTACCATGCAATTAGCTTATCTGGAGAGTGGAGACTGGACCTGAACTTACGTCTGTCAATGGATCGAGCGAACCTGTGGAAAACTTGAACTTAACTAGCTCAATTATACGGGATTGCATTGTATTTATACTATGAATGACCACCGTACTAAGTACGGGATTATTAGCCTTTTTATTTGGTTTAAGAGACTTACCATGTTTTATCTAGAGACTGACCACATACTAAGGGGCAACTAAGTATCATTTAATTTGAAATTTACTATTTAACTATAAAAAATTAACATGGGTCTTACATCTTTGTAATTGACAATCTATTCTGACCTACTTTGTTTGAAAATCACTATTAATTTATGTTGTTTTTAATATGATTTAAGAGATTAAATGAGGTTTTATTTGTAAGTAATAACCTACTTTAATTGGTATTTACTATTTATTTGATAAATTTTATTTTTGAAAGCTAAATTAGGTTATGCTTCCAAAAAAAATTAAATATAGTTTGCAATTAATAAACTATTTCATCTAAAAGAATGAAACTAGCACAATTTGTATTAATTATTTAGTCATTTTTATGAATTTCATTTATTTATTTTTATCCATTCAATATTTTGAATATTTTTAAGTTAAATTATTTCTTTATCATTACTTTTGAAATGGTTGTGTTTGAATAAAATTCACTTACTACCATAACATTCGAAGTGGCCACTTTTTAGGGATTAGGATGCTAGTGTATAAATTTTAAGAGAGTGGAGTTATCACTTTTTTTGAGTGGATAGACTTTTTTAAGAGTGAGAGTTTAACCTCTTCTAAGATTCTATCTATTGAAATTTTATAATGCCACGTGTCTTAAGGGTGGGGGTTGTTATATATATATATACATATATATAATAGATGTCCAAAAAAATTATAATTGGGTTGGGTCCATTTTAGTTGTACCAAAGCCATTAAGACCCAAGCTAACTATGAATATATTGTTTGTGCTAAAGTCAAGCATCTAAAATTGTAATAATTACTTTTTAAATATGCATCGGAGATTGTGAATTTTTTGGTGTTTTTAATAAACTAATTAGCAATTAATTAAATAATTACAAAATAATTAATAAATTGTGAAATTGATCAAAATTTTAAATAATTAAATAATTTTTAAAGAAACGAACATTTAATAATTAATTAATTATTATTGCATATTTAAAATAGATATTTACATAATTATTTTAATAAATAGATAGATATAAATTATAAATAATTAATGATTAATAACAATATTAAAAAATAATTATTAAGTAATTGAATAAATAATAAAATAATCATTATTAGATACAAATAATTAAATGGATAATTTATAAAAACACAAATTTCTTAAAGTACCCCTATGATTTAGGAAATTAACTAACTTTACCCTTACTATTAATTTTTGTCACACTCCATTCACACGTGACATCACATGCCTATATAGTTTTACTAATTTCTAAAATAATCTTTTAAAAATTTGAAGCAAATGTTACTTGATGCCGTTGTTGCCATTTCCGAAAGGAGGACGGAATCAATCATTTCCAAATGTGCCTGAATCAGGTTTCAAACGTGGTACCCATCCAATAACCCACTTGAGACAGACCCAAGTGGGTTCCATAATTGCTCATCATCACGATGTCAAGGGTGTTAAATGTAAGGCTCCAAAGCCCAAGAAATGGAGGAAAAGCTTTTGTTATTTGTTTATCTTGCTTTTGCATTTTGCTCCCATTGGTTTAAGGCTTTGGAGTCTTTGGACTCATAAACCCGTCAAATAAGAATTGGATGGAATGATTGATTCCTCGGTGGCTCAGAAGAAAGAGTCGAGTTCAATGAATTAACTTTGATGGTCAATTGATATTTGCTTCCTGGAGACCATTTATTGTTATGCACTCGTTCTGTTATAGTCTACAATATTGCATTCTTGTCATTGCCCCTGCAGCTTTCGTCTCTACAAGTAAGAGAAATTCAGAAATGGGTTTGATCCCATGTTCATCACCCCCAAAAGAAAAGAAAACTACAGGTTGAGTGACTCTAAACAGGGAGATACTATTGACGAGCGTTAAGAAATTATCGTTTTACAGTAATCTCCTTAATCTTCCTCAATTTCCTCTGAATAATCGAAGAAACCAAGTCTATGCTTCCGCAGAGCATCTAGGAATCTTCCTCTACTCAAACCACCCCATGTTTCTTGGTGAACAATGTAACCTAAAAAATATAAACAAAATTCACCTTCTTCAAACCAACTAAGCAATTACCTAAAGCTTATTGAAGAAAAATTGAAACCATTAAAGATTTTTGTTGTGCATCTCACATCTGTGAACCTTGGGACCTTTTGCTAAGACGTCAACTTCTCTCATAAGGTGGTTGTGCTTCTGGACGGCCTTACCGATCTTCTCCTCCACATAGCTCTTGACAATATCTGTTACAGTTCTTGAAAACTTTTATCAATTGGGTTTTATTTTGAAAATTTGGAGAATGGTGGAGGAAAAATTTGACATTTCATTTTTTCCATAAATGCTTAATTTCAATGACATTTGTTAGAAACCTTAAGGGTACTTTAAGATAATATATAAATAGTAGGAATAGAGCTAGTCAATTTCCTAAACCATAAAGGTACTTTAAGAAATTTGCCCTTTATAAAATAATAAAATATAAATAATGATCATAATAATAATAAAACATAATAGTAATAAATAATTATTATTTAATTATTAGACAATTAAATGATTAGGCATTGCTGAATAAGGCTTTCAATTATAAGGCTTAAGCACTAAAAACAACACCTATATCTATATCTATGCTACCATAAAAAGTGGGAATAGCTCCCCCAATGTTTCTCAACTTTTTCTTGATCAAAATGTCCCTCTTTTTGACTTCGCTCCCTCTCTAAGTGAAATGAATCCAACGCATATCAAGAATATCTCATGTACATATATCTTAAATTCATGGGAGATGTTACTAGTGTTGAGATTATTGACAATAATCACAGTTTTGCTTTGATGAAAACAAACTCACTTTGTCAAATTAACTTGAAATTGAGTCTTGCAATCCAACTACTCTTAGTAATCTTCACGAAGGTGGCTTGCAACAAAAGTGAAAGATCAATTCTCTAAGCTTTGAACAAGGCTAATTCTTGAGGAGGAAGAGATTCCAAGTGAAATTGAAAAGCTCAATGTGTCAAATTAGGAATTTTATGTAATCAAAGTAGTGCATGAGTTATAAGCTTCAAGGTTATCTTAAATAAGACTCTAATTGGACTTAGGGTATCTTAAATCCAAATGGACTGACTTAGATCAATAGATAATTAGTAAATCTGAAGTTTTGGGCTAGGGTACATCCCTCAAAAATTAGGAGACATCTCTTGGGAAACCTATAGCAATAAGGACATCCCCTAGGAGGTGATATGACACAAAAGCATTGGAGACATCATTTGGAAGCTGCCCAAAAAGCCAATAGCACGGGGGACATCCCTCACAACCCAAGAGACATCCCTTGCGTGTTTGCCAAGTCAAGTAGCCATTTGAAAAAAAGTATATTTAATGCCTCTTACATATTACGAATAAAAAGGGAAAGTAGATTTTAATACTATTGACCGAGACTAATAACTACTTTTATTGATTAAGCTATAAAAAGCTAATCTGAACAAAAAATTAAAAGAGACCTTGAATTGTTAGATCAAAAAGAAGAAAAATAAGATGGAAAACATTTTGAGTAAGAAATCTTTGGATAAAGAAAAAGCTTGAGAAAAGAAGAAAAACAACCTTGAAGAACTAGAAGTTCCTTCGCATCTTTATTTTGAGTAGTTTAAGTTGTAATTGGTATATTTTATTCAAGAAGTGATTTTCTAGTGCTTTCTATTGTTAAAACATTTAGAAATTTATAGTTGTAAAGCAATTGTGGGTTTGTTCTTATGTTGAGAGAGTGCTCTTATAAGGACACATGCAAAGTTTGGATAGTATAAGCCTATCCATTGGAGAAAAGATTTGGATAACATCCATGAAGCTTATCCATTTGTTCTAAAGGTTGGGATAGTACCCATGAAGCCAAATGGATATTTGTAAACATCTCTCCTAGGATAAGGAATTTAAGAAGGAAGGCAAATAGTTTTTAGGATGGGGACTATGTAAAATCGTGTAACCCAATTCACCCCCCCCCCCCT